AAGAGTAGACCCCACTCGCTGCAACTAGAGAAAGCCCGTGCACAGCAATGAAGACGCAATGCAGCCAAAAATAAATAAATAAATACATAAATAAATTTTAAAGAAAAAGAATGGCTAGCATGCAAAAGAGTAGTCTTTTGTATGCTAATGAGATGACTGGTGGCTGTGTTCACTGCCCCTCCCTCGCCCACAGATAGCATCAGATGGGGGCTGGTCACCCAAAAGATCAGTCCTTGACTAGAAGTTTGGAACTCTCAGCCTTAACCCTGAAACCTCCAAGGAGGGGAAAGGGACTGGAGATTGAGCTCATCACCAATGGCTAGTGACTTAATTAGTCATGCCTGCATAATGAAACTTCCATAAAAACCCCTAAATGATGGAGTTTCTGTTGGTGAACATGGTGCAGTGCTGGGAAGGTTCCCAGCCCAGAGAAGGCAAGGAAGCTCCACGCTCCTCCCCATACCTTGCCCTGTGTGCCTCTTCCATTTGCCTGTTTCTGAGTTGTATCCTTTGTAATAAAGCATGTTCCTGATCCTAGCAGATTATTGACCCTGAGGAGGGGGTTGTGGCACCCCTGGTTTATGACTGGTCTGTTGGATGTCTGGGAGGCCCAGGACTGGTGACTGGTGTCTGAAGTAGGGGGCACTCTTGTGGGACTGAGCCCTTAAATTGTGGGTTCTGCCCTGACTCCAGTAGTTAGTGTCAGAATTAAATTCAAGTGTTGGTGTCTGGGCAATCAGGGAGTTGGTTGTTGGTGTTGGAAAACACCCTGGACTTTCCAAAAAGAGTCTTGCCATTCCCATTCTTAAAAGCATACCTTGGGAGGGCCTGTTACAGATACATTGGGGTAAAATAAGGGGGAAAAAGATTACGTTTAAACTCTTTCATTAGAGTGAATTTTTAATCTACGCAAATACAGACAAAACAATGAATCCCTGTGTACCCATCACACTGCCCCCAAACCATCACACTGTGGCCAGTCCTGTCCTATCCACACCCTACCTGCCCTCACCTCCACCCCCTGTGTTATGTTGAAAAATCTCAGAAATCTATCCCTGTTTCTTGTATACATATTCTAGTATGTTGGGTTTTTTTAAAATTTTTTTTTAATTTATTTTTGGCAGCGTTGGGTCTTTGTTGCTGCACGCAGGCTTTCTCTAGTCGCGGCGAGCAGGGGCTACTCTTCGTTGCGGTGTGCGGGCTTCTCTTGTTGCAGAGCACGGGCTCTAGGCGCGCGGGCCTCAGTAGTTGCAGCACACGGGCTCAGTAGTTGCGGCTCGCGGGCTCTAGTGCACAGACTCAGTAGTTGTGGCGCGTGGGCTCAGTTGCTCCGCAGCATGTGGGATCTTCCCGGACCAGGGATCGAACCCATGTCCCCTGTATTGGCAGGCGGATTCTCAACCACTGTGCCACCAGGGAAGTCCCTTTCAGTATGTATTGCCAAATGATAGTTTTTAAATTGTGGCAAGGACACTAAACATAAGATCTACAGATTTTTTTTTCACTTTTTAATTTATTTTTGGCTGCGTTGGATCTTCGTTGCTGTGTGCAGGCTTTCTCTAGTTGCGGCGAGCGGGGGCTACTCTTCATTGTGGTGCGTGGGCTTCTCTTGTTGTGGAACATGGGCTCTAGGCACGCAGGCTTCAGTAGTTGCAGCGTGCGGGCTCAGTAGTTGTGGCACATAGGCTTGGTTGCTCCACGGCATGTGGGATCTTCCCAGACCAGGGCTCGAACCCGTGTCCCCTGCATTGGCAGGTGGATTCTTAACCACTGCACCACGAGGGGAGTCCAGAGCTACAGATTTTTAAGTGCACAGTACAATAGTCTTAACTGTACAGAGTTGCACTGCAGATCTCTAGGACTTAATTGTCTTGCACGACTGAAACTTTATACTCATCAAACAGCAACCCCCCCCCCCCCCCCAGCCACTGGCAACCACCATTCTACTTTCTGCTTCTGTGAGTTTGACTGTTTTAGATACCTCATAGAAGTGGAATCACGCAGTATTTGTTTTTCTGTGACTGGCTTATTTCACTTAGCATAACGTCCTCCAGGTTCATCCATTGTTGTGGCATGTGACAGGATTTCCTTCTTTTTAAGGCTGAATAATATATTCCATTGTTATGTATATACCACATTTTCTTTTTTTTAAATAAATTTATTTATTTATTTTATTTTTGGCTGCGTTGGGTCCTTGTTGCGCATGGGCTTTCTTTTAGTTGCGGCGAACAGGGGCTACTCTTTGTTGCGGTGCGTTGGCTTCTCATTGCAGTGGCTTCTCTTGTTGCGAGCACGGGCTCTAGGCACGTGGGCCTCAGTAGTTGTGGCAGTCGGGCTCAGTAGTCGTGGCTTGCAGGCTCAGCAGCTGTGGCACACGGGCTTAGTTGCTCCGTGGCATGTGGGATCTTCCCAGACCAGAGCTCGAACCCATGTCCCCTGCATTGGTAGGCAGATTCTTAACCACTGCGCCACCAGGGAAGCCCTACCACAGTTTCTTTATCCGTTCATCTATTGACAGACATTTAAGTCGTTTCTACATTTGGGCTATTGAATAATGCTGCAATGAACATAGGAATGCAGATATCTCTTCAAGATCCTGATTTCAGTTCTTTTGGATAAATACCCATAAGTGGGGTTACTGGATCATATGGTAGTTATATAAATGATAGGCCCTTTACACTATGATCACACTTAAAAACTCCCAAACAGAGCATGTATTAGTACTGCATTTCTTTTTAATGCTGAATAATACAGGCATACTTTGTTTTATTGCACTTTGCAGATACTGCCTTTTTTACAGATTGAATGTTTATGGCAACCCTGTGCTGTCAGATGATGGTTAGCATTTTTTAGCAATAATATACATTTTTAAATTAAGGTATGCACATTTTTTTAGACATAATGCTGTTGCACACTTAATAGACTCAGTATAGTGTAAACATAACTTTTATATGCACTGGGAAACCAAAAAATTTGTGTAACTCACATTATTTTGATACTCGCTTTATTGTGGTGGTCTAGAACCAAATCCACAATGTCTCCGAGCTGTGCCTATATTCCATTGCATGGATATACCACATTTTATTTATGCATTCATCAGTTGATGGACATTTTGCTGCTGTGAATAATACTTCCGTGAACATTTATGACCAGTTTTGTGTGAACGTGTTATCATTTCTCTTGGAAACATACTCAGGAGTGGAATTGCTGGTGATTTGTTAACTCAATGTTTAATCTTTTGAGGAGCTGCCAAAGTGTCTTCCAAGTTGGCTGTACAATTTATATTCCCATCAGCAGTGTTTGAAGGTTCTAGTTTCTCCACATCTTCACCAACACTTGTTACTGTTTGTCTTTCCATTATAGTTACCCTAGTGGGTAGGCAGTGCTATCTCATTGTAGTCTTGACTTGCATTTCCCTAATGGCTAGTGATGTTGTGCGTCTTCTCCTGTGCTTATTGGCCATTTGTATATCTTCTTTTGAGAAATGTCTATTCAAATCCATTGCTGATCTTTTTAAAATTTTTTTGTCTTTTTATTATTGAGTTCTAAGAGTTCTTTACGTATTCTGGATACAAGTCTTTATCAGATATATGATGTGCAAACATTTTCTCGCATTGTGTGGGTTGTGATTTTTTTTTCTTTTTTTTTTCTAGTTAGCATTGGTTTATAACATGTAAGTTCGATAGGTACAACGTTATACTTTGACTTCTGTATATACTACAGTGTTCCCACCACCAAAAGTTTAGTTTCCATGTGTCACCATATAGCTGACCCCCTTTGCCCGTTTTGCCCTCACCTCACCCCTGTGGGTTGTTTTACTTTTTGGGTGAAATTTGCAGTTCAAGAGTTTTACATACATGATATAGTTCACTATACATATTTTTTCTTTTGTCATGCTTGCTTTTGTGGTCTTATCTAAGAAACCATTGCCTACTCCAATAGATTCTAAGAGTTTTATAGCTCCTACATTTAGGTCTCTGATCCATTTTGAGTTAATTTTTGTATATGGTATGAGACAGGGTTCCAATTTCATTCTTTTGCATGTGGATATCCAGTTATCCAGTTATCTTAGCCATAAAGAGAAACGAAACTGAGTTATCTGTAGTGAGGTGGATGGACCTAGAGTCTGTCATACAGAGTGAAGTGACTCAGAAAGAGAAAAACAAATACCGTATGCTAACACATATATATGGAATCTAAAAAAAAAAACAATCGCTCTGAAGAACCTAGGGACAGGACAGGACTTAAAGATGCAGACGTAGAGAATGGACTTGAGGACATGGGGAGGGGGAAGGGTAAGCTGGGACGAAGCGAGAGAGTGGCATGGACATATACACACTACCAAACGTAAAATAGACAGCTAGTGGGAAGCAGCCGCATAGCACAGGGAGACCAGCTTGGTGCTTTGTGACCACCTAGAGGGGTGGGATAGGGAGGGTGGGAGGGAGATGCATGGGAATATCTGTCAGCTGAAGGGTATTATTACCACTTTTAAAATAATGTTCTTAAGGCTTCTCAGAGTAACTTAGGTAATGGGGCTTTTCTCCTCCTGGGCCTTTTTTCTTGATGGAAAGTCAGGATTCCCATGTGGTCTGGGGAAGGAACCAGGGCCAGCTGTAGGATGTTTTCCCAAGGTCATCTCTCACCTCCCGAAGACCTATGTAATGTTTTTGATAATGCTTCTTGTGTAATTATTAATCCCATTAGCATATTCTTGTTTAAATAACCTTTATATAGCGAGGTTATCTTGATTGTATGGTCTAATCTCCCAGCCGTCCTTAGGTCTGTTGACTCTGGTTACATTGTTTCAGATTACAAGTTTCTCGGGAACTCTGGTAACTTTGTATGTCTCTTCCTGTCAGTTAGAACATATGGTCCTTAAGGGTAGGAAACAAGTCTTTTTCTATGTGTTAGTGCTCAGAAAATCTTTCCTGACTGATGGACAAACTGCCTGAGGAGTACTGATGATGCTTTGGGGGACTTGTGTTTATTCCCTCCAGGGGAGCCAGGAAGTGGGACGGAAAGTGATACTTCTCCAGACTTCCACAATCAGGAAAATGAGCCCAGCCAGGAGGATCCTGAGGATCTGGATGGATCTGTGCAGGGAGTGAAACCTCAGAAGGCTGCTTCTTCTACTTCCTCAGGGAGTCATCATAGCAGCCATAAAAAACGAAAGAATAAAAACCGGCACAGGTCAGTGGTAGGGACCACCTTTCCCCACCCCCTATGCCCCCACCCTATCCCCACCCACTTAGAGCTTCCGTGACCATTGCTGTGAAGGGACTTTAATAGAATAAACATTCTTCAGGATTGGTGTGGTCTTTCTGTTGCTGATGGGAAGAAATTCATTTGGTCCAAGTGAAACAGGCTAATTTTTCTCTAAGGGAGGAATTAGTGGGCATTAGAGGAACTGTGAAGGAAGACATCCTTCTCAGTGTTTCTAGTGTAGAAGAATTTGATTCCATAAAACTTTTGTTTAATACAGTGAATTTGAAATCCTTTCAGAAGAGAAAAAGGGAAATAGAAATGGAATCTGTGTACTAGTGTTTGGAAGATGCCACTAGCATGTGTTGGGAAGCTGAAAAGTGGGATATAAGTCTTCTGCTCCTAACCTTGATCCCTGCCTGTTCTTATTCCCTGGAGGATGGACAGAACTGATCTAATAGTGCCTTTATGCTTTTTATTTTTTATTTTTATTTTTCGGTACACGGGCCTCTCACTGTTGCGGCCTCTCCCGCTGCGGAGCACAGGCTCCGGATGCGCAGGCTCAGCGGCCATGGCTCACGGGCCCAGCCGCTCCGCGGCACGTGGGATCTTCCCGGACCGGGGCACGAACCCGTGTCCCCTGCATCGGCAGACGGACTCCCAACCACTGCGCCACCAGGGAAGCCCCCTTTATGCTTTTTAAATACAAGTTTTTTGATTGCTTATGATTTCTCTATTTTTATATATCTTTGTAAAATGCTGATTTCAGTATCAGAGGAACAATATAAGGTCTATAAGATACGAGAGCACCTTCCTAGATAATGTTTGTTCACTGTGTGTTTTTGCAGTGCCTAATGAGATAGGAATCACATCAGTGGGCAGAGAGATCAGGTGCCACCCAGAGAGGATTTTAGCATTCTCTCTCCTTGGGGTTTATATGATGATGCCGGGGCCTGTTAGCTCAGATAATTGGAAATTATACAGCTGAACTCAGAGAGGGTAATGCAGTAGTTTCTAGAGGAAGGGATGGCCTCAAACCTTCTTCTGGGAGGTTTGAAAACCAGATATCCACCAGGTTGGCTTTTGTCCTGCTCCTCTTAGGAGCCTGCATGCTGAGGAGATGAAAGGGAGCGTGCAAGGAATGGGTGGGCTTCCCTGTGCCAGTCAGTTTGCTTCTGGGCTGGGTTGTCCCACAGAACATTCCCTCAGGCACCCAGGATATTATAGTTGTTACCTTTGCCAGATGTGGCATACAGGGATAATACAGAATTAACTCCAACGGGTTTAAGCCTCCTTGGCATCAACTGATTCTTTAATTCTTTTAAGAGTTTTTCTTGTCAATGGTGGTGGTGGTTTTTAGACCCAGAAATAGTATATCCTCCAGATAGTGACTAAGGACTGCAGCCTAACATTTTTCTGCACACCAGAAATCACCACGCCAATCTCATAAGTGCAGTAAGAGAGAGCAAAAATTGTATCTCTCTCTCTCTCTTTTTTTTTTTTTTTTTTTTTGTAAGGCTACAGCTTATTTAATCGCTGTGACAGGACTGACGCTAGTTTATCATAAACAGCAGAGATCCATACTCTTAAAAATATTTTTTTAAATTGTCAAGATAAAAGGGTCATGCTCTGTGTTGCTTTCATTAAGTTTACACCAGTGTCATTTTAAATGGGATAATTATTTTCCTGTTTCAGAGTAGAGGAGGGGTAAATTCCTTGAAAGTTTCTGGGACACTTTCTCCATTCCTGGTACACTAGACTCTATTGATAGCTATTGTTTATTTCAGGTAATACCTTATTTTCCTTAATGATAGGATCAGCTGATAAAAGGGAATTAGACATTGAACTTAATTTTCTTCTTGCAGATTACTGGTAGATTTCCATAGTAACAGCATTTCCTACCGTTTCCTCTCCTGGCCCTAGGAACTAACTCCTTCCAGAAAAATACTAGGATTTAAAAAGATATTTGATGTTAGTTATTGCCTTCACAATGGGGCTTTCTGTTTGGAAAGCAGGATCCTTTTTCGTTCCCCAGGTTCAGTATCCTGCTGGGTTTCTCCGTTGGCCTTAGGGCCTCACCTGCCCTGAGGGAGGATACTGGAGCTGATTTGCCTTCTTTCTGGAGAAAATAGGTTTATTAGCACACCTTCTCAGATTCCTGCCATCTTTAGTCAGGAATTGTGTCTGGCCCAAACCCCTCGCCCCTGACTAATGTCTTAGTGGGTCTGACTGATTGGGGGATGGGGACGGGGGAGCACTTTGTCTACACATGTTTGTAACTTTGCTCCCAGTACAGTGTCGTTTCTCCTTCAATGTACCACACCCCATATTGTCAGATAAAAGTCAACAGTAAATTATTTCAACAAAAGTCTGAATACCCACCATGTGTAAGACACTGTTTAGTGATGAGTAAAGCAAAGTGGAATAAATAAGTACCCTAGCAAAAAGGGAAGAACTTTGAATTTGTCCTCTTTAGGAATATAAAAATCTATCAAATAATTTTTAGCATTCATAAATGATCACAAGATTCTAAAGTCTTATCTTTTACGTGATATCTGAACGATAAGTCCCAGTGTCTTTAAAGAAAAAAGTTGAAATCGGTATAACCTTATAGCTGCTCTTACAGGTTTTTGATACTGTACCAAGCTCTAGAATTCTAGGTAGTTTGTGACGTTTTCATGAAGTAGGTACAGTCTACTTCTTTAATTTCTGAACAAAGTTAAGTTAGGCTGAAAGTTAAATTTCTGACAGTTCCTGGTTTGTACAGTTACTGTATACTTTTCCCAAATGTCCGAAGTGAAACTGTTGCATAAAGGTTATTGAAGTTAAGCTTTCTTCCAGCTTCACTCTTGCAAACATTGGCTAGGAGGAAATACAGCCATTTTGCGTATTGTTTTACCTCCTGTCTACAGTCTGAAAGGCTCTGGAGCCAGCCAAGGAACTGGTGTCGTGCCCCTGGTTAACATTTGCTTTGGACGTCTGCCCAGCCCATGGTCTGTTAGCGGTGTTGGCCCGAAACGGCCTTCTCCTCTAGGCTGCTCTCCCATCTGGACCCTTACGGCTTGGGTGCTTGCGGATGTCAACTTCCCTTTGTTTCAGTAGGCGCACTGCAGACTTCCGCGTTCCCTGATTGTAGCCCTGACATAAACCGTTAACTGCCCTCACCAGTTCAGGGGCAGAGTCATACGGCTGTGTGGGTTTTGGAATTAGACTCTGATTCGACCCCTGGCTTCTAGCATGAATGCAGAGAAAAGGAGTACCATGTTTGGACATGTTTAAATATAAAACCCGAGTTAGAAATTGCAAAATGTTTTTTATTTTCAAAACTGTATGATATTTTTATCTTTCATTTTAGTGAAAGTGTATTATGCCGAGTTGTTGGTACGGTCTTCAAAGCACTTTTCATTATGTCACTAAACCCTTTGTTCTCTATTTCTTCTAAATGCCCTGTTTATTTTTCATTATAATTAAATATTTTAAAAGTTCTAACTCTGAATCTGGTAGTTAATAGAAGGCCTGCAGGTGTCTAGTTTTCTAATGAAATAACTTTTCTTTTTATAGTCTGTTCTTCTGATATGAAATCCATTGAGGGAAGGGAATCTCCCAACCACAGAATCTTTGGTGCTTTGATGTCTGAAACTTTGTGTCTTAAGATTCTTAAAAGTGATTTTGTTTCTACAAATCTTGCTAGGGTGGCTAATCAACTAATTTATTCAATTAGGATATTAATTTCTATTGCTTTCTTCCTTTCAAATGCTGCCCCTCAGCCCGTCTGGCATGTTTGATTATGACTTTGAGTAAGTTTGATTTGAATTAGTATTTGTGCTGTGTTGTTTAGTGTGTAGAGACAAATATGCCTTTCTGAGACCTTTCTAACCCATAGTTTATCTGTTTAATTGTAGGTATGTATATTAGGTTAGGCTGGGAAGTTTTTTTTAAAAACAGAAAAACGTGATGGAGGTAACATTTTATTTAATAACTTAAGCAAAATTAAGTAAACTTCACTTTTATGCATTTTAATTTCTTTAAAAGTAGATAACCTTTACTTTGATTAATATTTAAATTGATATCCTGGCTTTGCTTCATAAGGAGATTGATAGTTTAAGATCTTGATGTTTTGCTCTGGAAAGATTTAAAAATTGAAATTTGTTGAATTTCTTTTGTGTTTCATGTCCAGGAATACAAACTCCTAGTCTCTTTCCTGTTCTTAATCACTCAGTGTCTCAGTGATTATCAGCAACATAGTTGCAGAGCTAACACATTAACGTAGAGCATGCCCTCTTAACCCAAGCTCTTTAACGTGTAATTTTGGAATCATTCTTAAAAATTGTACGACTTTTATAACTGCTATAGTGTATTTCTTTTTGAGTCATCTAAGTTTACCTTGTGGCAAGAGTATCTGCTCATGTTTTTAATAAATACTTGCTTAATAATATCTGGGTAAACAACTAAATATGACATAGTCTAATGAAGAATGTGGATTTTACTTAACCAAATAGTCTTTGTTATAGCTTGTGCCCTATGCAGTAGCTGATTCTTGGACCCGTTTTCTGTAAATTAAAATGCAAATATCTTTTATCTTTCCTATCACAGGATTGATCTGAAGTTAAACAAAAAACCACGAGCTGTAAGTATCAGCCAGACCATTTCAGAGAGGCTGGTGATTTTCGTAGACGGTTAGAAAAACGTATTTGTCTTCAGAGCTTGAGTGTTCCTAATCTGGGGTCACAGTTCTTGTTTTAAAGTCTGGGGTATCCATCTGGATGCACTTTGACTTTTAGGTTTGTGTACTCTCTTTATATTTTGGAGAGAGAAAGGCTCACACATTTTTTCCTGAAGAAAAATTCCCTTTGATTAAATAATGAACTGTTAATACTACCCCTCCTCACCACCCCCATGCCTCTAACTGGTGAGTTCTCAGGTCTAATAAGGCAGAATTGATGTTTCTGTCCCTTTGTGGACTCAGAAGACAAGCCATTTTCGATGTGAAATATTGTCTGTCATATTTGAAATAGAATCTTTGGCTACAGAGCAATAGCCTAGCAGGGTTGTTGGTGAGAATTTATCAATGTTCTGCTGAGAATAAGTTGGGACTTCTGTTTTTCTCTCTTCAGGATTATTAGAAGACTCATTAGTGCAGAAGCGTCCAGGCTATAGAGCCCTGCTTCCCTCCTCCGACCTCACAAAGATAAACACCCCTCACCTGGCTGCGTGGCCATCCATCTCTGCTTTCCCAGACCTGGTGCCTGTGACTCTGAGTAGTTTGTTCTGAAATGTGGTGACAAACAAGTCATTTCTGTAAGACCATATTGGAGCATTTATTTTGTGTCATTTTCCGTAACAACTGCAGGACGACCCAAGACATTGTTTTAATCCCAGCAAGTTGCTAAGTGTGCATTTCTCCGTTCTTGGAACCAATGTCTCCCCCGTCAAACTGCTGGCTGGCACCAGCCTCATCTGTGATGCGCATCGAGAAATGTTCTCTAGGTTTGTTTTATGCTGAACGTAGAACAAGTCACGTTTCAGAGGGAGGCTGTAAATATCTGGCGTTTTCTTATTTTGTTTGTGTTTTATCGTTTTTCTATGATTGTTTTTACCATCTTATTTGCTTTGGGGACTTTTTGTAATGCCATTATACAGCTCATACCTTCCTGCTGACATATCTGATCATCTCTTTCGTGCAGTTGCCAATATTCTTAACTGAAAGTAATTTGGTTTACCATAAATAAAATGGGGACTTGGCTTTTTGTTTCTTTGCAGAGGGAAGGTAAAGAGTGTTTATTTAATAATTACCTATCTTAAATCTTTTTGAGTTGGAAGCAGTTTCATGTTCAAGGAACAGGAAAAACTGAAACACATGAGTTTAAATGAGTCCTTTTAAAATAGGTATTTTTATTCTTTTGTATAAATAAAATTTCACAGGCTTTGACTTCTCATCCTTCACCTTTAAACTTGAGATTGTTTTTTCACTCACTTATTCGTATCATGCCTTACGGAAATCTCTTTCTCCATCTTTTCTCTCTCTTTGATGGTATTTGCCTGATTAAGTATTGCTCTAAAAATGACTAAGGCAAATGGAAAGGCTCTAAATTGTACCCAAAGCTGATAACGCCTGGAGTCCTTGAGCAAAGTGAATGACAGGATCACCGAGAGGCCGCGATGCCCAGCAAATGCCCCTTCCTTTCAGGGTGGATGGGCTGAGGAGTCTGTTGATGGTTGTTACCTGCCTCTGGAGCAGCGGCCATCCACCTTGGCTGCACATTGGAATCACCTGGGATGCTTAAAAAAATACCAGTGCCTGGGTCGCACCCCCCAAGACTCTGACTTGGGTACGGCCTAGTATTGGGGATATTCGTTCGAAGAGTCCCTGGCATTCTGACAAGAAACCAAGTTGAGAACCACTGCATTAGGAGACTGGATTGTTCGATTTAAATCCTATGTCATGAATCAGTCTAAGGGATATGCTGTGGGGCCTCACCTTTCCTTTGACTCTATTTAGTCATAAATACTTATCTCCATATCTTTGTTAGAAAAAATATGTTCCATTTGTGGCAATATTGGTAGAGCTGAAATATGGATGGCGTCTATTATCAAAACACGTCTACCTTGTCAGATGTGCAAAAGCTTCCTCTTGTTCTCAAATAAACTTTTTTTTTTTTTTTTGACTCTGTGGCTATTTAGATGTCTTTGCCTATGTCTTTGGTAGCAGAACTTCAGGGGTTTTTTAAGGAATTAGTTTCTTATATAGATTGTTCCTTAAAAACAAAACAAAACTAAAGACAATGGAAACCAGAAGCTTTCTGTATCCTTTTTTGTCAGTCTCCTTTCCCGGGAGGGAAGGATGGGATCCCGGTGGTTTCCTTAACTCTGAGGACAGCACACAGCAAACCTGAAGATATTTCTGACTCTCACAGTTTGACTTTTGCTAGAGATAGAGTAGGACTACTCTTAAAAAGATATATTATTAAAAGCATATCTATGTGTATGAATACCTCTATGTATGTGTAATCATGGTTAGAGACATGGCTTGCTTTATACATACTTTCTCTATAAAGTTTAATCATTGATTAGGAGACCTCACAACTTTCCTGTAAGTTGGCCAGACATACTGGAGATACAAGAGTCTTGAGAGATCACTTAGGTTCCCTGTGTTGGGCTGGTTTAGGAAAAAATGCTGGGAGATCCCTGCCTACCATACTTGTGATATTTGCAACTTTGGCTCTCAGCTAAGCTTAAGTTTGCTTGAGTTTAAAAGAGGATAAGGTTATGACCTTGATCAAGTTATTGATTAGAGGAACAACCATCCTAGTGGAGGAACACGTGTATTTAGGTAGCAGTTGCCCTCACAGTTCCTATCTGTGACACTTGGTGGAGGTGGTCTGCTGGGTGGCCTGTGTCCTCCCATCTTAGCTGCCCCCACCAGTGACCCCTGCCCTGGAACGGCTGCCAGGACCACTGAGAAGGTACTGCCTTCACCAGCTTGGTTGGGTTTGGAATAGTACTTGGCTTCCGGTCTTTAACCTTCTCATCTCTAAGATGGGAATAGGTTGTCCTTTGCTCCTTTTGGTAGTTACAAGATATTAAAAAAAAATCCAGGCACTGTATATCTTATCCTGGGAGGATGGTGCCTGTATAGAGCTTCCTAGGGAGTCTCAAGTACCCTCTTCCAGGAGATGAGGAAATAGCTCAAAGTGCTCTAAACACCATCAGACCCCAAAAGTTGAACACAGAGAATGGGAACAACCCACAAAGCAGGAGGTGAGAAGCCATTTGGGGCCCAGGGGAGAGACGGAGGGAGGTGTTGTGAATTTGGACAGGGCTAGTGAGGGTGGAGAGCATGGCCTGTCGAAGCTGCTGTCCCCATCTTGGGGGCCTTCGGAGTGCTGTAGGAAATTGATCCATAATTAGGTTAAACGTTTACCCTAGGATGGAGTTTATTCTCTTTGCTTAGAAGAAAATCCCTTGCTGTGAAAGAGGAGGGAGCAGGCGTTAGCATTATTTCCGACTCCAAGATTGAGCCTTTGGGTGCTGGGGTCATGTAAGTACCCTGTAAGTATGTATTCTAAAGAGAGTATTCTTGGCTTCTTGACCTGTGTGCTAAGTAAGGGAACTGAAACAAGTATTAAATGGCCTAAGCTTGAGAGCAGTAAGTATGCTGTTTTGAAACACTGGGTGACTTAGTTTTTGCTTTTATTCTGACTCCTCTGCCCCTTAGCCTTTCTCCAAATTACTGAGGCATGATTACACTTAAAAAACTCACATCGGGGGCTTCCCTGGTGGCGCAGTGGTTGGGAGTCCGCCTGCCGATGCAGGGGACGCGGGTTCGTGCCCCGGTCCGGGAAGATCCCACACGCCGCGGAGCGGCTGGGCCCGTGAGCCATGGCCGCTGAGCCTGCGCGTCCGGAGCCTGTGCTCCGCAACGGGAGAGGCCACAACAGTGAGAGGCCCGCGTACCGGAAAAAAAACAACAAAAAAACAACTCACATCGGAAGCCCGACTGGGGCTGCTGCACTGGGGGAGCAGGACTGCGCTCTGCACACATTTACTTCTCCCAGGCTGGGGTCGTATTGAGTCCCTGCGAGGGCGATGTGCCTGGAAGGTGCAGAGATAAGAAGAAGAAGGGGCTGAGGTTCTCATTCCTGTGTTAATCCAAATTAACATTATCAGGCCTGAATTTTATAAGTGGTAAGCTTCATGATTTGAAACAGTTTTCCTCACTGAGATGGGCTGTGGCGGAGTTGATTCTCATCCCCACTTCAAAGGCTGCTGGTCTCCAAGGGGAGGGGTTGGGGGCTGGGAAGAACACGGCAGGCCTTTGGTTTGTATTTACTTTCTGGCTCAGCCTTACTTAGTTCCTCACTTTGTGTTATATAATATGCAGAAATATTCATTCATTAGTACATGTAAGATAATTTGTAAATAAATATTAGGTTGAACCACAAGCAGTCAACCATTTTGATCTTCCAAAATGGCAGTTATCATGGTTTAACAACACACACATGTTGGGGGCAGGTGTGCACCAACTTTTCACCATTCGTGTACAAGAATAAACATTAGCTGGGAATTCCCCGGCGGTCTCGTGCTAAGGACTCCGCACTTGCACTGCTGTGGGCCAGGGATTGATCCCTGGTTGGGGAACGAAGATGCCATAATCCGTGTGGTGCCAAAAAGAAAAAAAAGAATAAACATTAGAGACCCCTGGCCAATACAGCCCTCCTCAGATCCCCATCCCCACCCCCATAACTTATTTCTCTACCCAAGGGTGCTTTAAAATATCTAATCTGGGGCTTCCCTGGTGGCGCAGTGGTTGAGAGTCCGCCTGCCGATGCAGGGGACGCGGGTTCGTGCCCCGGTCCAGGAAGACCCCACATGCTGCGGAGCGACTGGGCCCGTGAGCCATGGCTGCTAAGCCTGCGCGTCCGGAGCCTGTGCTCTGCAAAGGGAGAGGCCACAGCAGTGAGAGGCCCGCGTACCGCAAAAAAAAAAAATAAATAAAAATAAAATAAAAAAATTCTAATCTGAATAAGTAATACATGCAAGTGGCATATATTCAAGTGGTACTGAAGTGCGGTCAATGAAAAGTCAGTCCACCTGCCCCTCTGCTCCCAGTTGTCCTTCCTGGAGACAGTTTCTTGTGTCTAAGCGAGCTAGTAATATAGCTTAGAAAATGTTCTATAAATGCAGTGGCCTCGTTTCTGTTGGCTACCTGATACTCCCATTACATTTGTTACCAAAATCTATCTAACCCAATCCTCTACTGATAGTGTTAATGTTATTTCCCATCTTTTGCTGTTTCAGACAGTGTTGTGGTGCATTACACACATCATTTTGCAAACACAACGCTTAGCGGTGGGGTGGCTGAGCCAAAGGGTTGAAATACGTGGAACTCACTGTGACTTTATCTTCCATATCACTTTAAAAATAGGAATACAGGGACTTCCCTGGTGGCGCAGTGGTTAAGAATCTGCCCGCCAATGCAGGAGACACAGGTTCAATCCCTGGTCTGGGAAGATCCCACATGCTGCGGAGCAACTGAGTCTGCGAGCCACAACTACTGAGCCTGCGCGCCCTAGAGGCCGAGCGCCGCAACTACTGAAGCCCGCGTACCTAGAGCCCGTGTTCCACAGCAGGAGAGGCCACCGCAGTGAGAAGCCTGCGCACCGCCAAGAAGAGGACCCCCCCCCCGCTCGCCGCAACTGGGGAAAGCCCGCACTCAGCAACGAGGACCCAGTGCAGCCAAAAAAAAAAAAAAATACAAGTATTTCTTTCTCCTTTTCCTTTCCTCCCTATTTGTCCAGTTCCTGAGAATTTTTCTTGGGTAACTTGTTACCCAGAACAGTTGGAATTTTCTGGAACTCTAAACTTTGTAGGGTGGACTGTGACCTCTGGTGTTGCTTTCCAGGTGGAGCTGCAAAGACCCCTGAGAATTCCCTGTTTCTGCCTTAGCACTTACCTTCCATACTTTTCTCTTTAGATTTGTGTTTTCCGATCCTGCCGAGCATCCCAGTTTCTAGGCCCTGTGGTCAGGCCTGGGCTGGCAGCCCTATGGGCTAAGCAGGACCCCTGCTCCGCTGGCAGTCCTTACCAGGAGGTGCCAGCAGGTGGCAGGCAGAGCACCACAGCGCCCCTGGCCTTTAGCGAGGCTCTTCTCTGGAGAGCAGCCAGAATCAGAGCCTTTGGACCCTTCCCAGGGACCTGCCTGCTAGCAACAAGCCTAACCCTGTGCGGTGGGTGGGTTGCCCAGTCCATTTCTCCCACCTAGTTTTGCAGCCATTTCTTAAATGGGTGAGCAGTTTAAGATCACCAGTAGCGGCCTTGAGTCGGGCTTTGAGGCCACACCCCAGAATGACAGCCTGGGGCCTCCTCCCCATCCAGGAACTAGCCGGAAGGATTTACATACCATGGCCTGGGAAGGCTTCATTTTCCTTAATTGTAGGGCCCTACTTCCTGTCCCTTTCAGCCAAATCTCCCACACCCTTCCCATGACCTAGGAGGCCCCCAGACAGGCTCTTACTCACCACCCTCTACTCACCCTGCTATATGGTCTAGGGGAAAAAAATGAGCCAGAGGTTTGAGGATCCCTGGGGCAAAAGTGCTAGGATCCCGGAACTGCCTTCTTTAGGGGCAGGAACCCCTGGAGACCAGCTGGGCCCAGGGCTTGGGCTGATGGCACTACCCCTCCCCCAACTCTAGATTTGTGTCCCCTTGAATCCCAGTTTCTCTGTGGCTCGCTCAGTCTGTTTCTCATAGAGACCTGCCTAGCGCCTCCTTCAGGGCAGGGGGCTTGCCCTTCTGTGTAGGGGAGACACAGTCTGGCTTTTCCAGGGGACCTGGGAGGAGGAGGGAGGGCACAGAGCGTGGGAAGAGGGAGGAAGTGGCAGCTGGATGGTGACTGGTGGCCTCTCCCAGCCACTCCCCCATACCACCCTGCAAGAGACCAGTGCTGTTTGGGGTGTTAGCAGCACTGGGGTGGAGGTTGCCCAGGAGCTGCTCTCCTGGAGCCCCAAAGCTCTCCTGCTCCTAGTTTAGGCCCTCAGATCTTTAGGGACTGTAGGGCTTCGTCAGGCTGGCGTGGTGCGATGGGGACAGAGGGGGCGGGGACCTCCAGGCAGGGAATTGCATCCAGTTCCCTGCCAGGGAGGCCAAGGTTTCCGTAGTCATCCTG